GTCCAGCCCCTAGCATAGTAACTGGAAATAGCTAAGTTCTCCAATAAAAGTCTGTTCAGTGAATACATTTTGTTTGGAAGGAAGGGCATTATTCAATGTGCACAGGACTGTATTTCTTTTTTATTTATTTATTTTATTTTTTATTAAGGTATTATGGATACACACTCTTATGAAGGTTTCACATGAAAAAACAATGTGGTTACTACATTTACCCATATTATCAAGTCCCCACCGATACCCCAATGCAGTCACTGTCCATCAGTGCAGCAAGATGTCACAGATCCACTATGTGCCTTCTCTGTGCTACACTGTTTTCCCCCTGACCCCCCACACCATGTGTACTAAACATAATACCCCTCAATCCCCTTCTCCCTCCCTCCCCACCCACCCTCCCACACTCCTCCCCTTTGGTAACCACTAGTTCATTCTCGGAGTCTCTGAGTCTGCTGTCATTTTGTTCCTTCAGTTTTGCTTCATTGTTACACTCCACAAATGAGGGAAATCATTTGGCATTTGTGTTTCTCGCCTGGCTTATTTCACTGAGCATAGTGCCCTCCAGCTCCATCCGTGTTGTTGCAAATGGTAGGATTTGTTTCTTTCTTATGGCTAAATAGTATTCCATTGTGTATATGTATCACATCTTCTTTATCCATTCATCTACTGATGGACACTTAGGTTGCTTCCGTATCTTGGCTATTGTAAAAAATGCTGCAATAAACATTGGGATTCCTGGGTCAAATGGTATTTCTATTTTGAGTCTTTTGAGGAACCTCCATATTGCTTTCCACAATGGATGAACTAGTTTACATTCCCAACAGCAGTGTAGGAGGGTTCCCCTTTCTCAGCATCCTCACCAGCATTTGTTTTTCTTAGTCTTTTTGATGCTGGCCGTCCTTACTGGTGTGAGGTGATAGCTCATTGTGGTTTTAATTTGCATTTCCCTGATGATTAGTGATGTGGAGCATCTTTTCATGTGTCTGTTGGCCACCTGAATTTCTTCCTTGGAAACTGTCTCTTCATTTCCTCTGCCCATTTGTTAATTGTGTTATTTGTTTTTTGGGTGTTGAGGCATGTAAGTTCTTTATATATTTTGGGTGTTAACCTCTTGTCAGATATGTCATTTACAAATATATTCTCCCATACTGTAGGATGCCTTTTTGTTCTGTTGATGATGCTCTTGGCTGTACAAAACCTTTCTAGTTTGATATAGTCCCATGAGTTCATTTTTGCTTTTGTTTCCCTTTCTCGAGGAGATGTGTTCAGGAAGAAGTTGCTCATGCATATATTCAGGAGATGTTTGCCTATGTTGTCTTCTAAGAGTTTTATGGTTTCATGACTTACGTTCAAGTCTTTAATACATTTTGAGTTTACTTTTGTGTATGGGGTTAAACAATAATCCAGTTTCATTCTCTTGCATGTAGCTGTCCAGTTTTGCCAACACCAGCTGTTGAAGAGGATGTCATTTCCCCATTGTATGTCCATGGCTCTTTTATCATGTATTAATTGACCATATATGGTTGGGTTTATATCAGGGCTCTCTAGTCTGTTCCATTGGTCTATTGGTCTGTTCTTGTGCCAGTACCAAATTGTCTTGATTACCATGGCTTTGTAGTAGAGCTTGTAGCTGGAGAGCATAATTCCCCCTGCTTTATTCTTCCTTCTCAGGATTGCTTTGGCTCTTCGAGGTGTTTTGTGGTTCCATATGAATTTTAGAATGTGATTTTCTCTAATTTGTCAAAAAATGCTGTTGGTATTTTGATAGGAATTGCATTGAATCTATAGATTGCTTTAGGCAGGATGTCCATTTTGACAATGTTAATTCTTCCTATCCATGAGCATGGGATGTGTTTCCATTTATTGGCACCCTCTTTAATATTTCTCATGATTGTCTTGTAGTTTTCAGAGTATAGGTCTTTCACTTACTTGGTTAGGTTTATTCCTA